ATCCGAAAGCATTCCAGTCGGCAAATTTAAATTTTCGCTAGTGCTGTGGCGCTGCAATCTTCGGCTATTTCTCGGGCTACTCAAATATTTTATGTTTTTGATACTAAATTAACAATCTGAAGTATAATTTTTTATTGTTTTTATATTTTTCAATAAATTTGTTTTGTTTGTACAAAATAAAAAAATAATTTTTAACGATACAATAGTCTTCGTTAGGCTTAACATCGACGAAAATTCAACGCGAAGCGACACGCAACGGAGAGAAATTTCAACATGGGATATAATTAATATATTTTTCGTACATGATTCGTTATCCGAAAAATAAGTTATCTGAACCACCCCAGTTCCCAATTGATTCGGATAAATGACGCTCTACTGTAGTATAAAGTCTTTTGAATAACTTTAAAATTAAGTTCTTAAAGATATGTTTTTATTACTACTTATCTTAGCATTAGCAATTCTTTGTCATCTTATAGGCTGATATAATTTAATGACAAAATTAAAAAAATGACTATCAATATATACCTTTATGACAACACTTCCTTTTGTAACTTTTCTCATATTGAATCCAACTGTAGGAATCATATCTTCACAAAATTGGCCGGACTAAATAAATATTAAAACAAGTGATAGTTTCAATATAAAAACAATTTAAAATTTAAAAAATTTTAAGTTTTAGCATAATAAATATTACGCAATTTTCAAAATTCAAATAAGTTGATTGTATCTTTTTGCTGTTTAACAAATTAAGCAATTAATTTAAAACTTAATATTTAAAAATTACTTTATTAAATATAAGATAATATAATCTCATATGCATAACAATCATAATACTGTACATGTCTTATAATCCATTGTTATCTTAGTACCAATAGCCACAAGCATGCAATTTTTTTTGGGTGGGTCTGGGGACACACTGGTGTACCTGGAAATGAGGCAGCTGATCAGCTAGCCAAACAGGCTGCTGCTTCAGGCTTACTCCTTGCTACAACAAAGTTTCTGCTTTGAAAATCAAGCAATGGACTTGAGAATTTGTTCTTGGTCAATGGTAAGAAGAATAGGATAATGGATCTACAGGCAGATTAACGCACACCTTTATCCCAAGCATTAACAAAAGACTTAAATGGAAACACTTTGAGCCAACCTTCTCCATGACCCAGTTAATTACGGGACATGGTAATTTCAACAGCTATTTAAAAACGTTTCATCTTAACCATTCAACAGTGAGGGATGGATATATCCATCCAGGGCGATTGTGTGGCAGTGGTGAGGGACAGATATATCTGTTAAATTCTTTTAGGGTATTGCCAAAAACTACTGCGAAAAAAACAATTCACATAAAAAATGAATTATGTAACAATAAAAAAAGACTTTTCTTTACTAGACATAACTGTTTACAAAATGTTTTTCTGAAATGGTAATGAGAAAAAACGCATGGAAAAATACTTTAAAAATGTCCCACGTTTATTCTCCACTACTTTGGGGTAACAACATACCTGACTATTGCACTGCTAAAAGGTTAAAAACATGGACATCTGCCCCTGCAACAGTACTTCAATCCAAGATAGCCAGCATTATTTGTGGGACTGTGAACTTTTTAAACAGGAGAGAGACAGACTCATGGGGCATGTGCTTCATGCCAGAAACAACTGGCCATGTCCTAATGACAGACTCACGGAAGACCCAAATGTTTATTGACATGTCATCAAGTTTCTGGAAACAACAGCAACACTCAACCCACCATGCAATCAACAGTCTGCTAGAAATGATTGATCAACTGGCTAACTTTTTCTCAGACAATTGTTCCAGGCTTCCAACCAGTTATGCTGCTCCATTGGCTCTCGCTACACATACACAGATTGTTCTTCCATTGTGTAACATGGTAAGTACCACTGTTTTCTCTTGTGCAATCATGCTCATGCACTCTTGCTACCTGTGTGTCCTGTATGTGCACTCCACGCGCATCTACTGCAGTGCAGTATTATCTATATTTGTTTGTAAAGTTTTTCTGTAATCCATTGTAAATTTTGGGCTTTACCATTCTGTATGCATCACTAATCTAATGTTTGTGTAACTTTTCTATACTCGTGTATTATTAACCTACTCACAGGTTATGTACTTATCTCCACTACTGTATTTTGTACAATGTCTAACATCAATTGAAAACCTCTTACACATTCATGAGGTATATTGTTATTACTCTTGTCTGCAATGTAATACCATCTGTAAACTGTTACTCAGTTTACATTACTGGCTTTTCCTATTATATACAGCACCTATGACTTGTCTTGCTGTGTTAGCACTCACAAGTAATTAACTTTTTTTTTTTTTACCCTTACCTTACCATTGTAATTACCTGATTATAATTGTATAATTTTCTCCACTTTCATGTTAATTACTGATGTTAATCCGAGGGCTGTGGAGTCGGAGTCATGGAGTTTTAGTGTTTTAGCCGGAGCTTGTGTATAAAGGGGTATAAAGTATAATAATACTATTAAATTTTGGTTCTTAATTAAAGGTCAACAGGGTGAAGACATAAAAGTGGTCATGTGTCATATCTCTTAATGAATATTTTACTCGTTATTAGCGTTCAAAATTTAAAAAATAAAAAGTAAAACTCGTCTGTACCCTCAAAGTAAGCTTTTTTGTCATTTTATAACAGTACAGTAAAACCCGTTAAGATGTTCTCGCCTACAATGTTAGAATGTGTATGGGGACAGGATTTAGTTCAACCACTCTGATGCTTAATAACTAACTCCTGTGTTAAACCATCTGACTCTGATTCTAACCACTCTGACGCTTAATAACTAACTCCTGTGTTAAACCATCTGACTCTGATTCTAACCACTCTGACACACAGAAATTATTAGGCTTTAATCAAACAGGGTGAACAAAATCATGCCCCCACACACAGTCTAACATCCACACATATAGAAAAAAACCTCGAATCTTTTGCATATGTTGAAATTTCAAGGTGCCCCGAGTCCAAAAATGTAAAAATTTGGAAGGGGTCATTTTTTGACCAAGCACTACACTTTCCCTCTGTTATATATAACAGCCGGAAAAGTAAACATTATCGAATACATATTTATATGTTGACTGTGTCATTACTTAGAGGAGTCTTAGCTTTGGAATAAAAAGTTTCTACGTTCTATCTTTATTAGAACTCTATTTATTGAACCTTTTATTCTGAGATCACGTGATGACAATTTTCGGGTCTCTTTCGGTAACAAGTCTGCCCCTGGTCAGAGTCGGAGTCGGATGGTAAGGAAAAGTCGGAGTTGGTAGATTTTTACGCGACTCCACAGCCCTGGTTAATCCTCTTGTCCTCTCGTTTTGCACACTTCTTGTAAGCGAAATCTCACTGTACATATCATGTTAATTATTATGTATATTTATGTAGTAGCTCTATATTTATACATTTTTATGTAGTCACCGCTGTCTGGTGCACATCAATGTATTTCAGTCAACTCTTTATCTGTAATATATATTGTTATGCTTTCAATAATTGTGATGCAGGCACCGTGTAATCTCACCTCTCTCCCGCACTTTGCCCCCTTTCATCCCCAATCCTTCATCTCCCTCACTCCCATTTCACCAACTTTTCTCCTCCAACCTCCAGGTCATACCTATGAGTGGAACCTGGAGGCACCCCCTCTTTCAATTAAAACGTACAGTACATGCCTTATACACTTGTATTACATTTCAAATCATCAAAACTTATTCTCATTCAGAATTATTAAAATTATTATTATCAAATTTTTATTTTTGCCAAAAACTATTTGAATTAAATTTTCTCAAATAATTGCTAAAATGTTATTGAACTGTTTGTGATCAGTGTGCAGTATGTATGTAATGTGTTAGTGTGTGGTGTAATAGAAATTATCCAGATTCATAAAAATATCTCAATAAGAAAAAGTTTTAAATTCCTGTTAAATATAGGCTATTTTTGTTAAATGTATCAGATGAGAGGAATAATTTGAAAAGAACAATCCCTTTCTAATAAAAAGGACTGCTACATATTTAATATTTTATTTGTACGTATGTTAAATGAGATGTCAAAATATCTTTCTTATATAAAAAATACCTTATTACAGTAGCTGAATGTCAGCAAGAATTATCTTAATAAAGGATGAAATATCCATTCAATTATGGAAACATAAAATCTTATCAATACCAATCAGCAACATTGCATGTTGATTCTGATATTGTGAAGGATAATTTGATAAACTATTATACAAAAATCAAAGAAAGCAGTCAATTTCAAATTGATCCTTAACAAAAATCTTCAGCAGTATGCAAAATAGATTTCACAGAACACTTTATAATAGAAAAGCATTGTTTAACACGTTTGATGTTACTAAAGTTACTATGTTTAACTGTGCATGTTTAGGTGCAATTGTTTGACACCAGTGAATATTTTCAATTTTAAACAATTCAGTTTTCATCTTGCATTATAGTAGTATGGCTGATATGTAGTAAAATATTCTATCCAATAATATAGTATCCATTATATTGTGCCTTTTTTGATCTTCCAAATATCAATACTGGTATAAACTGGAACTACACAATAACTAGAGAGACACAAAATACCTTATTACTTTTCCAGCAACTTAAACTTTAATAATATAACATTTTTGGCTCAATTGTTAATCAAACCAAAAATGTTAGTTATATACCAATTCCTGTCATAGGTGGCCTGCAATGACTAATTGTAATATTAGTAACCAACACTGAATTCCAATCCAATGCCTTGTGTGGGATACTGCCAAGGAAAAGATCAAAACAAGTTATAAGTGGATCCATGGCAAAAGTGGAATGCCATAAAGAGAACTACTTGCATGACTTTCCTTTAGCTAAAAGTTCATCATGAGGATAAGATTATGTTAAATGTTCTATTTGCAAAAGCACAATCAATATTGGCACAAGAGGACAGTTCTTTGAAAAGGCATACTGAATCAGAAAAACATGCGGTTGCTAGCATAGCAATTGAAAAATCATTGCTTGTATCATCATTCTTTCAGCCAGCTTCTGATTCTGCAGACAAGATATGAATTTTCTGTATGATCTAGAAATATTACGATGATTCAATTGTAATTTTATATTAAACTTTTCTACAAGTAATAAAGACAGAAATTCTGTACACTTGCCATTTAATTGAGCATAATTTGCCCATGGCCTCAGCATTGTGTGCAGGAGCATTGTTTAAGATGTTCCCAGACAACATAATAATATCTAAGTATCAGTGCAATGCAATTTTAAACATCATACATAATCAATGATTGCTTAGCTGAATACTCACAGTCCTACCTTGTAACACTCATGGAAAAACAATACATTTTCTATATCAGATGGAAATAACAATATAAATGTTAAAAAAATGTATCCAATGTCTGTTAAAATCTTTGATGTCAAGAAAAAAATGGTAATAAACAAAGTCTTTCATGTGCTTGAGTAAATCTGGTAAGAAAATGTTGGATGCATTGCATTAGCTACCTACAACACGGATTGAAAGAATTGCATTTCTCTTGGACAATGTAACTTGCAACACAAAAGTTAGAAATAGCCTGAAAATGAGAATTCAACAATATAATCCTGCAGTGCATGTACATGGCTGTTCATGTCACATAGTGCACAATCAGAGCTGCATTAAGCTTTCCATAGGCCTAGGCACTTTTCAATTTTTTAAATATAATCTTTTTTGTTTTTAAATTATTTCCAGATTGCAAAACAGTACAAGAGTTATTGCTGCTGCAAAAGCAGCAGAAATTAGTATCTAATACAAATATTGATTGTTCTTAGAATATATATGTCAATGTTAGGATTGAATTCTGATGGAGAATGATCTTTTTCAACATTAAATTGCATTAAAAATCATTTAAGATTAATTTGGCTCAAACAAAATTATCATATTAATCTGTACTTTTCATAGAAAAGAAAATATTAAAACAGTTGCCAGTTCAGGAAATTATTAAAGATTTTGCACACAAAAAGTGTAGAAAAGTCTACATAAACTAAGCTGATTGAGCAAAAATTTAATGTTTTATTCTACTTCTCATAACTTCTATTTTTTCAATTGTTAATTTCATAGACCCTAGGAACTGTGCCTAATGGATCAAGTAGCTTGTAAGTACGGCTCTGATGGGACAATGTCAAAGCTAATGTTTCTTAATGCAAAGAGCACAAATGTATAGAATGATCTCGCTCATTTGTTTCTATAATACCACATGTAATGACGTGTCCCTCTAGTAATAATTGTTCTATAAAATTTCTCGATAAACAGCTACAAGCAGTATATATCATTATATTGGACAGTAATATATGATTAATTTTATGTTGACTGGTTACAATGAATCTAGTTAACTATTTGCACTGTCCATAATTCAACACTAGCACTGTCCATAATTCAACAAAGATGACAAGTAGATTTCCAAAATGAGACTGAATTTGATGTGGAAAACTTTTTAACAGACATATTTTTGGTTTAAATATTCCAATGTTAGAAAGCATATGCTCAAAGAATTTTGTGAATTTGATGATATGCAGTTTAAACAAATTATCAGGCATGTTAGTGTGAGATGATTGAGCTCAGAGATTGAACAGAGTTTTACAGAAGTCTGAAGAATTGAAATCATACTTTCTGCCCAGCAGTAAATCAGCATCACATTTCAAGAGACTAGAAAAAGAAAGTATTTAGAGTTCCACTTACTGAAGTATATCTTCTTTTCTTGCAATCAGTACTGCCAGTCTTGATCACATTTAATTTAACTTTACAAAAAGAAGAGCCTAAGATCCCAAAGTTACATGATCAGATAAACAGGTTACTGAAAACATCAATGAGTCAATTTATGTTACTTGAACATATGCATAATGCAAGAGGCCAACATCTTGATATCACATTGACAGCACAGGCACCCATGACACAGATCTGTACATTGCCAGATGTACCAATCAGCAACATTGCATGTACAGTACCAAAGCAGTGTATAACCAACATTCAAGATGTTATTTTACCAAACATAGCTTGTAGTTCTATACAGAATTATGTAGTTTGAAATATTGCAAGAAACTGTGGAATATTTAGTGTGCAAACTCCCTTTTGCTGACATTGTTACAAAGAATAGTATATTTTTAAGTTTTGACAAGAAATGTAGTTATTAGCAAATTGAATATTTTTGTGACAGGTATCAAAAAATGCTGAAGTTCATTCCACAGGACAGGGATGCATACAATGAATTTCATGACTTTAAGGACTCTATTTGCATTTTTCATGAACTATAGAGGGTGCTGCATTTTTACAAAATGGCTACTTTATCTGGGTCTCTTGTAACTAGTCAACATAAAATTAATCATATATTACTGTCCAATATAATGATATATACTGCTTGTAGCTGTTTATCGAGAAATTTTATAGAACAATTATTGCTAGAGGGACACGTCATTACATGTGGTATTATAGAAACAAATGAGCGAGATCGTTCTATACATTTGTGCTCTTTGCATTAAGAAACATTAGCTTTGACATTGTCCCATCAGGGCCATACTTACAAGCTACATGACTTTTTTTGCTAAGAGACTCAAGTTTCAAGGGGTCTCAAAAATTTCTACAAAAAAGAAAATTAAAGTCAAATTTTGTAATAAAATTTTTTTTACAAACCAACAAAATATACTTTAAATACTACACAAAATAAAAAGTAACTAATATGTTTATGTTAATTCTTTTCTTTTTATGATTGACTTCTAAAAATGATGTGAAAGGTTGGTAAGGGGCTTCACACAGAGTTCAGCTTAGGCCTCAAAATGCTTAAATCCAGCTTTGTGTCCACACAAAATTATTGGCATTTTAAACTTTAAGAAAAAATCCTTTAAAACTGGGAGTATAACTTATAAAGCCAGACAATCAGGAAACTTTTTTCCAATTCTTAATTTAACTATCGAATCCACTCTTTCGGTCGGTTATAATTATGAGCTTCTGCAAATTTTGATTTCCAAATAATCATGTGGGAATACATGAAAACTTACATTGGACTCCTGTATGGCTTTGAAATTGCAATTTGAGACACAACAGAAAGCTTTGCTTTTTCTATTGCTACTCATCTTTATTGTTGCAAATACACAAGAATGATTCAAACACCCAGATAAAATAGTTTTGTTTTTAAACATCAGAGGGCGAGCATCCAGTGGTAAAATAGTGTTGGGAATTGATTGGAAACAGTAGAATGATCTGAATGAGATGAAAGCTGTTAATGATGTCTATGGGTTTCCATTGCTCACAAGGTTGAAAAACTAGTTGTAATACAAAACAGCAATGCTAATGAAGACTGAGTGTTTTCATCTGTCAAAACAAAATTGAATTCAAAGGTCAACTGAATAATTCCAGAACTCCATCATTCTTAGTCGTCATTAAACTAAATGGATTCGGCAACAAAAAATGTTAGCAGTTTGAGGCTGCTTAGGATATCTTGATTAATTAATTTAAAGTGAATTAGTGTATCAAGGAACATAACCTACAGCATAAAGGAACATAATATGTAATTTATAATGTAGTATTAAATCTTGTATATGATTTATGTGTTTTGTAATGAATTGTATTCCTTTTGTAATGTAATATACTGTTTTGACTATAATGTTGCTCATAATTAGCCTATATGTAATGAACCTTCCTGCTGAATAATAAATAGCCATTTCCTTCTCTGGTTAACCCAAACAAACAATCCTGGTTGAGATGATTGCACATGTCAAACTTATATACGTAACATTTACCAATGCATATTGTTTTATATTTTTCCAAAAAATTCAACATTTGCAACTACATTTGGACCACTATCAAGACATGTCAATCCACACGTGCAAAATTTAACAAACATGATCATTTCACGAAATTAACTCATAGATTATAATTTGTGCATTTCATCTACGATTTATTTATGTACCTGTTTAAAATTACATATAAAATAATTAAAACGAAAGAGATTTAGAAAGATACTTGCAGATATAACATTGATAAACGTTGTTTTTCCCGAATATTGCAAACCAATTAAAGTCAATTCCATTTCCTCTTTCCAGAAAAGGCTTCGAAACCAATCAAAAATTCTATTTATGAAAGCCAACATAATTTCCTCCTTCTTTTAGTATTAATTTCTTAACAAAATAATTTGAAAGTCGTTCACAATCATATGATTACAATCATGTGACTTAACTTTTAAATACGACATCTGGTGGAAAATTGTTCATAAAATTATGATCATAATATAGATTTGTCATTTTTGTTTTTTAGAAAAAATCAATAGATTTGATGAATATTTTTATATAAAAATATGCATAAAATAAATGGGAGCGAACGAAAATAAATATTCTCAAAACTTTGAGATTTTTTTTTATATCTAAAATACTTTTTTTTCTTTAAACTCTTTCCGCCCTGTGGGCACTGAGAGGGCGTCTTATAGCAAGCCCATTATGGGTTCGGCCAGGCCCATAATGGGGCGACCTGGTGGTAAGATAGAGCCCGCTCTAGGGGTGGACAACCCGGACATTTGTCCGGGGGCGGCATTTTGGTTGTGAATGTGACGAAATAGTTTTAAGTTAAATACTTAATTAATCGAAATTTATATTTGTCGATTTTTTTCCTGTGGATAAAGTTACCATGCAATTTACATTTCGTATTTATTATTTTTGCCTAAAAGCTAAGAAAATATTTGCATTCCTTAATTCTTGAAGAAAATAACCATAAAAGAGTGCTTTTGGGCAAAAAGGAAAGCATAAGCAACAATGTTAAATTTTGTCCCAAACCCACCTTAAGAATACTGCCGATCATACCAATAACTGTAGCTAATGGGGGAAAGGCGTTTCTCTAAATAAAATTTAATTAAAAACATTTTACGTTCCACTACCACGCAAAATCATCTTAACAGTTTGGCCATTTTGGTGATTGCGCATGAAACTGCCGATCAAGTAAACTTAAAAGAGTTAATAAGAAAGTTTGCAGAACTAAACGTGAGAAAAAAGTTTCTTTTGATTTTAATATAGTTGATGTACTTTTTGTTTAGTTTTTACAGGATATAAGTTTTTTTGTTTGATTGAACTGTACAGTAAGGCATTTTTGTAATATCATAAAAATGCATCTAGTTAACAATTTGTAACTAGGTACAGGTATATTTTAATTTTTACTGTTTTGTACTACTTGATTGTTAATTTTATAGTACATGTTTCTCTCTAAATAAATTTAAGAGGCGACAATTTGTCTTTTTGTCCGGGACGACATAAATGCTTGAGCGGGCGCTGGGTGAGGACAGGGTACAGACATATCCGGACGGACCTCGCTCCCGAAAAATTTCTGGGGATTTATCGACCCGTCTGGATTCGAACCCGGTTTTCCCATAGCGGTAGACTGACACTTTGACCGCTCGGCCATCAGACCTAAGGTCTAAAATACTGAAAATAGAAACATTTTTTTAATACATGCGAAATGTACTTTTGCTGATTTTGATGTTGAAAAGAAATTATATAAAAACACAATTCTTAAAAATGTTAAATCTTTTCATATTTCGTAATTTAAATCACTGTTGTTGTTCATTCAGCATTATCAATGTTTTTAAACGCCAGACTGTAGCAAATGTAATTAAAAATAGAATTTATATGTTTAAATAAACTAAAACATATAAATTCTAAATTATGCGGATTTTGATTCTCGGCAATAATTGTAGCGACCGCTAAATACTGAAACAATATCTAGAGGCCCACCATTAGCCAAGTAGATAAAATCACCGAACAACTGTTAGTTGGTCGCAAGCTCGCACTATATCAACAGGCTAGCCAAGTGAGTTTTCCGGCTTTTCTCCTTCTGTAACGCCTGAATAGGGCTTTAAAAGACCTCCCGGAAGGCATCCCCCTAAGCAGATTGCCCAAGTGTTGCTTTGCCAAAACAAAACAAAACAAAACAAACACTTTAAGTGCTCGGGCAACTATCCTTGGCCCTGGTGTTAAATTTCAAATTATAAATAATACAGTACTTTATTATTGTAGTTTAGAAATTTTCTATTTGGCAACACTTACTTCCATCGTTTTCAACACTCCTTCTGTAAGAGGGATTGTTGTTTTCCATGGCTCTGTTTGACGTTTGTAAAATGATTTTAATTTCTATTAACGATCGATTATGTCGCGAAACTGTAAGTCATATTTAAACCCAGTTTTTGTTCTTTGAAAAATCTATTTTGGTTTACTAATTTTAAACAGTTCTATAAAGCTGAAAAGTGATGTTGAAAGAAACATTTCAGGGAATGATTATAATTTTCTTTTCACAATATTAGTGAATTTTATATTCATAATTTGACGAAAACCTTTTTAATCGTTTCCTTAAATACTCTACAAGTAACTGAAATCCTTACCGTACAGAGTGATCACAAAGCTCCTTTAATTAGAGTTGTCATAACTAAATCATAGAAAAGAGGACACCAAACAAGTTGTAAAGATTGATTGAATATCCATTTATTTTAATATAAGTTTTATTTTATAATAAATAAATGCATATATTTTAGTATTTTCATTTTGTTTTCTTTTGTTATGTTTATTTGTGTGTGTATAAAAATCCACAACAAAAATTTTACTTTCAAAAAGAGGATTTATTGTAATCCTACTTTAATGCTAATTAGATATTAAGAGTTTTTTTTAAAAATTCTTTCTGCCCTGTGGGCACTAGAGGGCCTCTTTTTAGCAAGGCCACAATGGATGGCCAGGCAGTGAGGGACGGGGCCCGATGTATCCAGACGAACTACCACCCAAAAAATTCCTGGGGATTTTTCAACCTATCTGGATTCAATCCTGGGTCCCCAGAACGGTAGGCTGCCTCCTTTAACACTTTGCCATCTGGCTGTCAAAGGTATTAAGGATAAGGAAAGGAAAGGAAAAGGATAAGGAAAGGATAAAAGGATAATTATGATTTTCTCCATTCTCCTCTTAAATTTTAACTTACCCAACATTTTGAATATCTGTCATGTTGATAATTGGAAACTGTTAAAATAGTTTGATAACTGTTTTTAGGTCAACTATTGTAAGATAGACTTGAATTTTAAATTTTATAAATGTCCCAAAGTGCATTGTCAAATATTGAGTCTGGAGTTTGAGATTCGGGGTGCAATCTTGTGTACAGATACTTTGTGGCCTTCTATACAGATCACGTGTTCATCCAAAGAAAGAAAATCCCTACAGATTAAATTTAAACATTATTATTTTAATAAGAATATTCGGTATAATACTTTTAAAAATAATTTAATTGTTATAGAATGCTTTGTTAAAAGTTCCACTAAAACAGGGTTGAATACGTAATGCTAACTTAGCTGATTAGATTTTTTGGAATGTTATTAAATATATATAGTTCAAATAACTCCAGGCACTAGAAATTATTTTCCTAAATGGAGATGTGATTCCATATTTAATATCTAAAGATTAAACAAAGAAAACTCATTACTGTTATAATGAAGTGCATCTAGGTAGTTCCTACATGCGACATACAAGATGGCAACCATTGCAACTAATAAATACTGTTCCACACAATGCACTTAGGTAGCCCCTAGGGTGTGAAGGTCAGTTTTTAACATGTATTAGTCTACTGCCTATTCTACAAGCTTTGCATGTAGACATGCACCTCAGTGGGGACCAGCCCCCACACCCCCAAAAACTATATAACATCAAGTACTCCATGAATAGTCAAATGGGCTACTTGAAGCCAGGATAGTCATGTGGGCTAAATAATTAAACGCCATAGTCTTGGAAGTACCACCATTGCGGCTACCTAGATGCACTTCTACCATATTAATTAAATCATTTCATGTACATTTGTGTTGATTTGAATGTTTTCTTTTTTCGTTCTATGATTGAATGCTGTTTGTTATAAAAAATAAAATGAATGAAAATAGTTTATCTTGTTCCAATAAAGCATTTTTTGTTATATTTCTAAAAAAGCTGTTGTCTGTTGTTTGTTTGTTAACAGTTTTAACCATTCAGTTAGAACATCAAATTTTCAATACATTTAGAAAGTAAATTGATAGTTGATTTTGATATATTTTTCTTACATCATAAACTATTAATTGCATACAAACTTTTATAAACCTATAAAAGTTAATGATATAGTACACAAACATTTGAGAAGTGTTTTAAAATTATTTTCTTATTAGATAACATGTATATTCTCTCTTCCTATTAAAATTGTTACAATATTATTAACTTTGCATTTATTCATGCAATATAATGATTTTGAAATAAATTTTTTCCTAAAAACTTCAATAATTTGATACATGGATCAGATTGCTTATTTTTAATTTTTTTTCAAAAATGTTATTTGTATCTAAATATTTCTTTGAAGATTTTAGTTTATCTAAATCATTTAAAATTTAATTGTTTTATTCATATTATTTTTAGATATATTTACATGACTTCATCTCTCAGTTTTGAAAAGATTTATAAATTTTATCATAATAAATATCATGAGTACTGTATATTCTTGTTTCATTATAAAAATTTGATAAATAAATTAATCAAAAATTAAATTCTATGTATATTCAATTAGTGTAATTTTAAAAAATTTTATTTTTATGTGCATATTTTGTTACTTTTTATAATTATTCAATTGATGGTTGATGCTTGTTTTAGATATAGGCTGATCATTGATTTTTCTGATACCTCTTTATGCTGGACAGAATTACAAGAGGGTACACTTAAAATTCTTGCAACCTCCAGATTATCCTTTCTTATTCTGGGAAAGAGTATAGTCTTTCACAGAATAAGAATGTTTATTAGTCTACACACTCTAAGGAAACTAATTCCATGTTCATTATGAAGAAAGTAAAATATAAGTATAGAACATGTATCAGAAAATTATAAGATGTTTAAACTGTTATTATCCGTTTGAAATTTTTACTATTTTTGCAAGAAATCTGCAATTATAAAAATACAAAAAAATATCATGATGTGGTATGAATTTTCATTATTTAGTTATGGCAGTGGAGTGATACACATTTAAGGTCCAATATATTGTTCAATTTTTATTCTAGAAAATACTGTAATATTGTGAATGGTGACAGATGATATTGTATATATATAGCATAGATTCATTTAGATTGTGTACATTGCAACTGTTGGCAATTCATTTTGTATGACTTAACTATAGAAAAGTAAATTAAATAAATGTAAGGAAGATGCAAACTTCAATAACACCAACTCACATTTAATTTATTCTTAATTCTACAATGCTTTAGAAATATGAAGGTATGTAATTATTGATCCAGGATATACTGTTGAGTTGTTATGCAACCTCAGTTGTTCTGACAAAACCATTCTGGAAAGGTTTGGAACTGAGCATGCCAGAAAATTGGTGATGAAACCTGTACTTTTATTTTAAGTAAAAATAATAATAAATATTTTGCCTATTTAGATTTTATGAAGATACAACATACATTTATACAGTCATTAAAAATAGTGAGATTATTGATGTCTTTTTGCTAAGCTATAACTTTGATATAAAAACAATTTTTTAGCATACTGTACTTTATTAAATACAAGTTGTCAAAAATGATGGAAGAAATGAAAATATTAATGTTTACTTAGAAGAAATTTTATAGTTTATGATAAAACTATACAAACTTTATAATCTTTCATAAATAATAGTTGTCTAATAATTTGCCTTGTCTAAATCCAAAATATAATTTTTTAGTTCTCACTGTTGTAGCAACATAATTCTAACTTAGCCAATTTTGTCAACCTTTGAACTTAGGTGTGTGTACCATCTAGTAAAATTAGTACATTTAACTTGTGGTGTAAAATTTCCACTATAAATAACATTATTAAATGAATTTTGTCAATTCTATATTTAAGATATAATAATTTTTGAGTTTCAATTCACTTACATTCAAGGGAATCAGTTATTTCCAATGTGATGGCCCAACTTAAAATTAACTAAAGTACATTGCAAAATGCAATAAACTTTATTTTTCTTATCATTTGATAAATATTAACAATCAGTTTTGCTTACCATTAAAGTTTCTGTAAAAAATTACTGATTTTACCAAACAACATTGAAAAAACTAAAATAATATGATTAATGGGTAGTACTGAGAAAAATATGAATTCAAATGTAAAGCTGGCGATGTACTGTACAGAGATGGGATATTATATTACTAGGTAAGATGCTCATTTTTATTCTTAAATAATATACAGTACAATAGAATAGAAATATGATTTAACATTTTCAAGGAATGATGGAAGAAAATGCATAAAATCACAGAATATGTAAAATCCAAACATCCTTAAAAAAAGCATGCATAACATACAAACATATGTATATATGCATTCAAAATAGGTAAAGTGAAGGAAAATGTAGATTACCAGTATAAATGCTTCTGTGAAAGCATTTACTTTATTTCATACAATGTAATGTACTTCATTTGGCACCTCTACACATGTTTTACACAAAGATGATACACTATTAAACTGTCTTTTAAAAGTAATCAAGGATACTTGTTTGTTTCTTGTTGAGGATTTGATGCATTTTCATCATCATGGTTTCTAAGTTTGATTAAAGAAACACATTTTTATCAATATCATCACAACCATTGGGCATTAAGTATCTTTGGTGTTTTGCACTTGTTGCTGTAATGTCATAATGTTGGATTTGAAGCTGGATAGGAATACTGGCTCTGGACCACAATCTATAGTAAACTTCAAAAATTGACTTGATATTGCTTTACTTGTTGTGAAAATCTTTAAATCCAGTAATAGTTTTCAAGGTGTCAAACTATAAAATATTGTTCTCTTGTTATCACAGGGTAATGAAGCAATCTTGATAATTCATTCAACTTTTATAATTGTCTTGATAATCTGAACATGAAATACAGTACATTTTTTTGAAAAATGTTATTTGAGGTGAAACTTGTGTAAGGATTGAGTTTTTGATGCATTAAATCGAAAAAAACACACAAAATCAAAAAAGATGCTGAATGTGGTAACATTAATATTGTGGTTTATGAAGATTTGAGGGGACTGGTGAAAAAATATGTTAAATTGAATGTAATACATAATACATAAATTGAATGTTTGTAATACATAAAGTATTACAAACATTCAATTTATGTATTGTTTATGTTATGTATTGTTAAATTAATGTTTGTAATACTTTCTATTGTATTACATTTTTTACAATAGATATATGCTAATTAAGGTAGAATTGCTAAGATTATAAAAAGTACAAACTCCTTTTTTTTTAATATTATAAGCGTTTTATATATAATTGTTTTAAAAATTTTTCCCTCTGATTTTATTCTGAAATATCATTCACAAATTTGAGAATTGTTAAATTTAAGTATACTAGAATTATAAGTACGTGTTTGGACAGTAGTTTCTTCAATCTTAGCTAATCTAATTAAATATTAGAATTAAGATGTGAAATGTGTTGCTTTTTTTATTTTGTTTTTTCTTAGTTTACTAAAATGCAAAATAATAGTAGTAATTTCTTTTTTGTTTCAAATTCATATAATAAAATTCTCTAATTTTATTAAATGACAGTCATTTCATAAAAAAGATATTAATTGAAAAGTAAGTAGAGTATATTTACAAAGGGCATAGTTTCTCAATTCTTATATCAGCAATATAGCAATGTTCTGAAGACTAAATACTTTTTCATTGTGATGGTGTAATTAAAACAATTTTAATATATAAAAAAGTTGTTTTTAATATTTTACATTACTATAATACACTTAAATACATGCAGTTGAATTATTATTTACAAATATGATTACTGATTAAATTGTATTTTCAGTCATGAGATTGGGAGTGGGGATGGAGTCATCACTATCATATATAATTATCACTGTAATGCATTTTCATGCACACATCTAATATTTTGGATTAAATTCTACATTTTTGTTATGTTTCTCAGAGTTTGGGCTCCCCCTAAAACATCCTAAAAACATTATTGTCAGACTTAGAAGGCTAAACTTTCAGGATAACTATCTTAATTAGAAGAATGAAATTTGAGGACATGATGCAAAGCAGGTTAAATAAAAGCATTTAACCTTCTGCAAATTAAATGAATAAAAATTAAGCCCTGAACCCTGTTGGGTTAATTTTATCTTGAAGATTATATATTTATAAATTTAAAGTGCATTTTTATTAAAATGAAATAAAACAAAGATTTATTTTTTAAAATATATTTATAATAAGACACAAACAAACATTCATCTACTTATGACTAATTGAAAATTTAAACTGTCTATAGAACCAATTTTTTAAAATATTCTTTTTTGTAATATTTTAATACTTATTAGTATAATCTAGCCATATTAATTTTTAAAAATTAAGAGGAAAATTAATTTCTATAGTTTATCTTGGCAAGATCATTTCATTGCATATAAAATGTGAGCATTTAGACATGGTGAATTACATTTTATGCATGTATTTTGAGTCTTGTGATATATATTTCTCAGACACTCAGAGCATCTCTGAATTATTTTAGCTCATTTTGGAAGTGTTTCTTGAGGACTTCTCCAGTATGTTCATGAAGTTGTTTACATAAATCTCAGGGTAGTCTCTCATTATCCTTTCTGTTTCTTATGTGTTCTAATGACAATCCCAATTTCCTCTGTTTTTAGTTTTTCCCTTTTCTGCTTCATGATTCAACACATATATTAATATAGCAGTAATGCCTGCATGGTTTAACATTAAAAAATGTGAGTGGCCATTGTTTAGAATTACACAACACATCTTAGGTTCTTGCAAGTTTATTCATAACATCAACTCCACTTTCTGTTTGATTAAAAATATTATAACAGATGGTTTCCTTTTATCTCTACTTTCTGTATCCAACTCCTGATCATGGTGTAAGGTGGACATCAGATATACAAACTTGTGTGTTTTGGAATTTAGGAGACAAGAGTAACATCTTTTTGAAATCCTAATAGAGATATTTCTTTGCACTATGCCTTGAATTATGGCAGAATGTAAAATTTTTTGCTCAAATCTGGCATGAAAGATGATTCAGTACTTGTTGGTAACTTCAGCAACTGCTTCACTACCAGAACCTGATTGCATACCCAAATGATCTAATTCATCATCACCATAAGGAAAAAAAATATCATCATGGGAGAAATTGCTATTTTCCTCTAAATGAGTTGAAGAAGTACCAAAAGTCTTTCTTAAAATCTTTTATCAAAAACAAACATAAAATGATATAAATAAGCAAAAATTTTAGATTTTAGAAACAAAAACAAAAAGCATGTTACTTACTTTATTTATTATATTCCAAACCACATGATTTAAAATATCCAGACACACTTTAAGCATGTGCTCAAGTTATGACATCATATAGCATAAAGATTTACTACTATAATGCCAAGCGATACATCTCAACTTCAGCTACTCAAAAAACCAGATCACTTGCATTTATTTTGAAATAAATATGACAGTTTTAAAAATACTGGGGATAATTTAAACCTATCTGTTTCATAGGAGGTTAAATGCAGAAGACAACTATAGTTCATGAAGATTAATCATGACTAGATACAAGGTATAACAGTTAATATTTTCTTGAGTTATTATTTTAATTAATGATTCTTAATCCTAATAATAATTGAAAATTTTTTATTTATTTTAATATTTCAGAATAATTCGCAGTAATTTTGCAGGGAGTTCAATGAAAATATCTTATAATAGAAGTCAATTGTTTGAAACAATTTACTTTAAAAAAGTGGCAAATATATTGCTACAACAAATTTTTCTCCAACATTCCATTCAAGAATTAGGCAATTTTGCCTGTTCCAGCTTCAATGGTCACCTCAATGGTATTTGTTTGGAAATAAGTAATATAAAACCTTCAATCTTTTTCTAGCAATTTCCTTTAATTGAACTAACATTTTCAGCTATGTTTGATGGCCTTTCTTTGGAAACTTTGGAACTTTCAAGTTGAATGTTATTTTTTTTTACATGGACAAGGATTTTTGTTTCACCCCTATCTCTTAACCTGTCCAGCTTGTCCTGTCAGTTGCCTGCATATGCTACTGTTGTAGTCTCAGAATTATGCAATCCTCTTTACCAAGCCATAAGCCTTTGTCAAAGTACATCATGGGGAAGGCTAATTGCTATGACAAACTGAAACATAATTCAGTCATATTTTGATATGTCATAGCAGTATAACTATACGAAAGTTAGAAATTGGAGAATTGGGCAAAAATTCTTCACTTATAAAAAAAGTTTTATTTATCTAGACATAATCTACAGGTTAATGTTTTATAAATTATTATTATTAATTTATTTTGGCTAATTTGACTAACTTTTGTCAATAATTTTTATTTTTTAAGTATGTACTGTACATTTTAGACAGTATCAACAAAGTAATCAGCTTAACACAAATAAATACATTTAAGTACATTTACTGTCACACATTGTTTGAAACTAATCTATTTATTTATCAACTCAAACAATGTAAGACAATAAATTAATGTTAATCATTTATCAATATATCATTAGACAATGGATATAGATAATCATTGCTCTAGAAATGTAATTTCATGAATTGATGACTAACAAATTTACTAATAAACATCTGTCAACAAACCAGATGATGACTTGATATTGCTGACTTTCAACTATAGTGAGAAAAATTGTGCAGTTGGTATCTAGAGTGAGAAGAATAATAACAGCTCTAACTGTTTAATTAATATCTCATAATCAAATCTTAGTTTGATGGATTAAAGTAAAAATGAGTATACCTTCTTAAAGTTACAATTTAAATATCATATATATTTTAAATTATATAATTTGTAAAATAATTAAAATTTATTGCTAAATATATGATCTTTCTGAAGAAAACTTTAAAACAAAATTAATTTCTTTTTTCAAAAACTCTTCCTAAATAAAATAACAAAGTTTTCCCTTGAATGATTTTAACTATTTTAAAGTAAATTTTATTATTACTTTTATCTTCAATTTATTTATAGAGGGATAAAACTGACAATATGTTATTTATTACAGAGTGAAGAAACAAAGATCAAATTGAAGAATTATTTGAATATGATAAAACTGACAATATGTTAAAAAAATTAGTACAAAAAATAAAACAATAACAAGAACAATAAAATTACAAAAAATAATTGTTTTATTTTCTGTGTTTTATATTCTAATTATTATTTATATTAATATATTCAAGAATAAGAAGTAATGTTTTTAATTTTTCATGAATGTGTAAAAAAAATTAATGGAATGAACTATATTTTCAGGTATTTGGGTACATGCAAAAAAATCAATAACATGTCCTGTATGTAATAAAAGTTTTCCTTTCCAAAGTCATCTTGTTCGTCACATGAATTGTCATCGTGAAGAATGTGACAGACACAGATGTGAATTTTGTGGTAAGACATATAAATGGAAAATAAGTCTTCAGTATCATTTAAAAAGTCATCAATAACAAAACTATAAGTTTTTTTATATTTTTAATTGAAAAATAAAATACATTTAAAAATTTATAACTTAGTAGGTTTTTACTTATCAACCCTGATACATTCCAGCTGACAAAAGTAAATTTTTTCTTGTAAAGTGAAGAGTCAAAATTGGTGTTGATTTTGTGGGATATGAACCAAGCAAAACACTTTCATTATTTAACCTAAAAATCCATGAAATATCAGAAAAGGATTTCTTGTTATCAAACAAGAAATATATATTATTAAATAAAGATCAAAAATACCTGACGTTTGGGGCATGAGATATATTCAAATCCTCTAAATCTATTTCCTCAAATAATCTGCTTACATCCCATATTTTTACAGTGTTATCTAATCCACCTAGAAACAATTAAAAATTATAATAATTTTTAATTCATTCATCAAAATTGTGACAAACAAGAAAATTACCTGATGCTAGTATGTTGCCATCACGGCTAAAACATATAGAATAGATACTATCCGAATGACTGTTAAGTTCAGCCAGAAGATGACCATGTGCAATATCCCAAATTAAAATTTTCTTATCTGCTCCTATATAAATATAATAAATGTGTTATTAAAATTTCAAATGTCTTCTCTAAGAACTCATGCTAATTTTATTGTTTGTATCATGTAATCCTATTAACTGTTGCATGTTAAGCAAAAACTTAAATTTACTTATACTTTAAACTATAGTGCACTTCAAATTATATTTGAAGTGCACTATAGTTTAAAGTATAAGTAAAATTGAAGGAAACATTAATAAGCAACAATTGTTTTGCTTTATTACAACAGAATAAAAAGAAGTTATTCAAATCTGACATTCATTTTGCTATATCCATGTCCAAACTGAACATAAAATCTAATATATAAACAATAGTCAGCAAACTAATTTTTTCATTTAGTCAATAGAATTTTGATTCAGAATCAGTTAATGTAATTCTGGATTACTAATAATCAAGTCTGATTAAAATAATTTTTAAAATATGAATAAACTTGAACTAAGTAATGAATTTAATATAATTTCTCATAGATTAATTGATTCTTAAAATCATAGAGCATTATCATCATCCCTTTTACTCATTAATTTCAATTGATTTAGGATAGTGACAATATAAAGTATGTGTATTTATAAATTTTTATAATTTGTAAATAAACATTTCATTTTTATTTCATTAAAAAATATTTTTTGAACAAAAAACAAATTGTTTTTTAGACTTTTTAACAAAAAATTAAATGAGTTTCATTAACTTGAATAAACATTTCAGAAATGGACAGCATGCCAATCGTTTAATAGGAGAAACTTCTTAACATATAGGCGTTAAAATATGAATGAATGTTGCTAGATCAACAAGCGCTTTCGACAATAATTATTTTCATCTTCGTCAGGTTGTTAAAAACAGTTCAAGTCCTTTTTTTTTGAATATGAATATCAAATTATTCCAACAGTATTAACGTTTTGGAATGAAAGCAATGGTAGAAAGTAAGAAAAAGAATTTAAATAAAAACGCACGCGATTATAATGTGCATGTGCTATAAGCCTCCAAATTGTGGAGCTAGATACGTTGTCTTAGGCAGTTATGCAAGTTAACCCACAAAGGGGGCAAATCAAGTGTGGGGATGGAGCTATAGTGTAGTAGTGGGAAAAAGATTGCTTTTTCCCGCTACTACACTACAGCTCCCAAAAGAATCCACAATAATCCTTCCCGCGCTACCATTTTGTGGTTATGTCACTGTCTGTACTTGCCGTATTTTTAGGTGCCATGAGCTTTTTCTGCCAGTTTCTCTGTGGCCAAGTCTTAGGAGGTTGCTATCCAATGACAGAGATCCTACTTCCACACTAGAAAGATCAGGGGTTTATTCTATCCCACTGGAAAATATGTCGGGTGGTCGCACCCACAATATTGGCATGACAACCAGAATGTTGTCCTATCGTATTTCGGAACATCAGTGTTCTATCAGGTAGGCAAAAGTGAAACTGAGCTCACTAGAATGGTGTTGCAACACCAACACACCCTGTTGTGGGGCCAGGTGGTCATACTAAGACATTGTAATAACAGAAGCCTCGCGTATATTTGGGAAGCCCTCCTTACCAACATACTAAATCCGTGCAACACCCCCACACTTGATTTGCCCCCTTTGTGGGTTAACTTGCATAAATGCCTAAAGACAACGTATCTAGCTCCACAATTTAAAGGCTTATAGCACATGCACATTATAATCGCATGTGTTTTTATTTAAATTCTTTTTCTTACCTTCTACCGTTGCTTTCGTTCCAAAATGTTAATACTGTTGGAATAATTTGATATTCATATTCAAAAAAAGGACTTTAACTGTTTTTAACAACCTGATGAAGACGAAAATAATTATTGTTGAAAGTGCTTGTTGATCTAGTGACATTCATTTGTATTTTAATGCCTATATGTTAAGAAGTTTCTGAATAAACATTTACAATCAATCATTAAAAACTTTATTACAAGCAATTATTTAATGTGACATCATCACAATGCCGGGCTGCAATTTTTAATCATATTTTTAATTTAAAATATATGTTCTCTACCTCAAATTAGTAGTGACTTCCCCTGTACATCATACTTTTCCTTTAGCAATCAAGTCATGCCTGTCATCTATCTAACACCTTTCAGAGGAAAATTTTTGAATTGAAATAATGTAACTTCTGGTTTGTATATAGTTAATTGGGGTCTCCTGCCCCTAAGATTTCCATATCTGGTCTTGTCTTTCATCTATCTAATTCCATTCTTGAGATTAAGGAATGACAGATAGACAATTGTGGGAATTTATAGGTCTATAATTTTTTCAAATTGCAGCCCAATGATAGATAGTCCCAGAATAACTTCCATAATTGTAGGTACATTACACTCTCACAAGGTTAGAAGTGAATTTGCCTTTGCATAAATCAGTCCACTGTTGAGTGAGCATTTATGTGTTTACCTGGCTGGTGACTATGCTCTAAGCAGACCATGAATAAAGACATTTGCATAAGTCAGTGGTTAGTCATGGAAATTATTCTGGGACACCATGTATATAACAGATTCTAATCAAAATTTATTTTTACAATGTAAGAAGTTTAAAAATTTATACGTATGATTGATGATTATTTTCTGTGTGGGGATGATTTTTTTTTTTGTCAATTTCATTACCAGAAGGTTAGTATATAAGTTATTTTAAATAATTGAGAATATAAAAAAGTAAATATTCAATACAGTAGTCATTGTTATGAAAATTTCTAAAATGTTATTAAAATGCTATATTTTAAAAGTTTAATTAGGTTTCCATTACTGGTTTTTTGTAGACTTTAAAGAATTAAAAGCTAGCGACTTTCTTTCTTCAGAAACACATCACACAAGGAACAGTTGTTTATGTATTTTTTATTAAAGAAATGTATTTTAGGTCTTAATGACACACAGAGGGGTCAATAAGACCCAAAATGCATTTCCTTTAATAAAAAATACATAAACAACTGTTCCTTGTGTGATGTGTTACTGAAGAAAGAAAGCCACTAAATTTTTAAAAGTTTGTTCTATAATACATAAAATAAAAACTCAAAATTACCAGCAGATGCTAGAAACCGTCCACAAGTAGAAAAAGCCAATGTATATACTCTTCCCTATAAAATAAAAGTTTAAAATATTTATATTGTGCTAAATTATAAATTACCTAAGTTTAAAAATGATTTTTTTGTTAAATATAATAAAATTATATAATTTCAAATTAAAGATTAATAATAAATTAAATTTGTCAGTCATATATCTTTAAGATATTAATTTCAGTCCATCTCATCATTTTTATATTTCTTATTTCATCTATTTACTTTTTAATAATTGGATATAAATGAAAATTACATTTATATATATAAATTAAAAATGAAGATAATTTGGATAAAAATTTTAGCTTATTTATGGACTAAATAAATCTAATTTATTTAGATTTATTTTTATATGTATGTAAACTCCATAATTTAATATGTAATTAAATTTATTGTTATATACAAACCTTGTGCCCAGTCATAAAACGTACACAGCTCCCAGTTAGTACATCCCATAATCGTACTGTTCTATCACTAGAACCAGTTGCAATGTAATTTGAATTGGGATGAAATTGCACACACTAGAAGTAAATAATATCAAAATATTTATTCATTCAAACTGAGTTATTCAAAGCATTTTTATAAAGACTTACATCCACATCAGAAACATGTCCAGCAAATATCCTTAATGGTTGATGAGAATCTGTTGACCATAATCTAGCTGTACGGTCATATCCACAAGAAGCAAAATAGTAACCATGTGGACTAAAATTTAAAAAATTTGATACTTTGTAAAAAGTATTTATTAAACATAAGTAAATAAACAACTCAACAAATGTATCATTGGTTTAAATATAAATGTGTGCTGAATTCTATTGCAAATAATTTTCAATTGCATTGAATTATTAGACTGATCAAAATTTGACTTCAGTTAAATTAATTTTAAAAATAAATAGTTGTACAATAACAACTGATTTCTATTATAATGTATGAACTTTTTAGTATAGTCGACCCCTCTATAACGTGGGTTCATATATCGCGGCGAAAAAATTGTGACCCTATTCGTATAAAGATGCTAAAAGACACTCGTAAAATACAGTAAAAGGTCATCACCGACTTGTGTTGCGACAGGATTGGTCGAATCTGGACCAATAGTGGATGAGCAGCCGAACTACTTACACGCTATGGAGAGTTTAGGCGGGTAAGTTGAGTTTACTATCGTCTGTATAGTATAAAAATTAGGTACTGTAAGTCTAATACAGTACTGTAATTTTATACATTTCTTGTGAAAAAAACATTTCTTATTCAACAGCCATAAAAATTATTTTTATTAATGATGTCTCCAAAGTTCAACTAATTTTTCGCAGAAAAATAATTTATCAGAAAACGCGCCCGACGTTTGGTGTGCTACTCCACGACGAAAACAAGCTTAAGCAATGGCATCGTCAAATGGTGCACAATCAGTAAGTAATCCAACAATTTTTTGTTTATAGCATAATTTATAAGGATTATTCTCAAAAAATTATACGTGTTTTGGAAATGTTGAGTCAAATTAGTCTAGAATCGATTAATTTTATGGAAGAAAATCTTTCAAATAGCCACAGTCTGCAAACTGCACACATGCCAGGCTGTGATTGGCTCTGATTGGCTCATGTATTTAAGGATTCCTACAACATGAAATTCTTATAAAGTGGAACGTATCTACCACGTTATAGGGGGTCAACTGTATTTTAATAAATTCTAAAAAAGTTTATGACATTTATATTTCAAAACATAGATACTATAAGATAACTTACAGATGTATGGTGGATGTCACATCAATAATTGTACCAATTTGAGAAAATTCACACAAAAAAAGGTGTTAAGGAATGTTGTATTTTCCTGCAAGCGTTTCTGATTAAACTAGATTCTGTTTCTGCCTGAAATTGACACCTATTACTGCGTTGAAATCACTTGCAGGAAAATAAAATGTTCCTTAATGCCTTTTTTGTGTGAATTTTCTCTTGAGTCAGTAGATACTAGAACATATCTCACCTGAATTTTACATCCCATACTGGAAAACAATGACCTTTGTAGCAAACAACATTGGTCCATGTATGTAAACTCCATAATCGAACTAAAAATAATTAACACAGTATATTAAAAAATAATAAAAATCTGTTAAATTAGTGTTAGAGAGATTAAGTATTAAATGAAAGTACTTGAGTTTTACTTTGTTGTTATTTTATTTGTGTTTTCTAAATATATTTTATTTAATAAATTCTAAAATTCAAATTTCCTGACATACATTTCAATACAATATGTACTTATAATATACACAAAGATTTATAAAATCTGACTCACAGATCTCTCTGTAATATATATGGATTATATGTACACATCTCTACGTAATTAACAAAACTATTAATAAATCTTGTTTTTGATTTTGAACTGTTTCAAAAATCAATTACTATTTATTATAAGGAAATATAAAAGTTGTTCAAAATTGATATGGACTTTTATTTTTAAAACAATTCAAATTCATATGAAGCTTTTAATGCCTTTCATGATATTCCCTCTTAATTAATATTCACCTGCTTGTTTCAATATTCTGGAAATTATTGAAACTCAAAAAACATTCCACTGCTTGCACAGTCATTGTAAGACAACCTCATTGATCTCTTGATCCATTTGGGCTTTTTTACCCTCTAGATTCACTTTTATTTATCCAAAAAGATGGAAGGAAATCAGAAAAGAATAAATTGGACTATATGAAGGATGTTCCATGATGTCCCAAAAATTTGATTTGTCAACACTGTTTTGGTCAAATTGGCTGCATGTGGATAGATATAACAGAGAAGGATGATTATCTTTAAAGAATTAAAAGCTATTGGCTTTCTTCAGTAACACATCACATGAGGAGCAGTTGTTGATATAGTTTTTATTGAAGGAGATGCATTTTGGGTCTTAATGATCCCTCTTCAGTCCTTAAAATATCACAGTCCTTCAGATCATTAAAATATGTATTATTCTGTATTATTATACAGAATAATACATATTTTAACAAAATTTTTTTATAAAAATAACTTACATGGTTGATTGTAGGTTACAATTGACATTAAAGAGTATATTGGGTAATTGACTGGGTGGTAATTTACCAGGGTTGCTTGTAGAATGCCAGAATTGCATTCTGCAAGTGCAACTGTGTACTTAAAGATGTATATGTATTATTCTATATAATATAACCCTGATCTATCTCTGTTTGTAAAGTCTAAGGACTGAAGAGGGATCATTAAGACCAGAAATGCATCTCCTTCTATAAAAACTATATCAAACTGCTCCTTGTGTGATGTGTTACTGAAGAAAGCCAATAGCTTTTAATTCTTTAGTCTACAAAACCAATAACGGAAACCTAATTAAATGATTATCTTTGACAACTTTCTAGACCTTTTCTGCCAAATTGATTAGGCCACATTATTTTGAAGTAAACCATAACTCTAAAATCTTCTCTGCTGATAGATGTATTTTGTAAAGTGTAGTTATTTGTAATGCCACTGCATGTTGATCTATTTTATCTCATATCCAAGTTTTATCAAGGTAATTATTTTTCTTCAGAAATGTGCAGTGCAAATCAGAATTTGTTTCCTAATGAAATGTTAATATTTTAAGGACTTTTGAGACACTTTGTTTAACAAGTATTTATAAATGATTTCTTCAACAAACACTATACTTAAATCAACAACAGATATAATATCATGCACACAATAATTCTCATCCTCCAAGTTAGTTTTTTACAGAGTAAATGATAACATTTTGGATAATTATTATTTAGATAAAGATATATATATATAAAGATTTGATATCATTTTACAGTCTTCAAAAAATGTCTTATATCATTCATACATACATATATATAATAATATTGTTTAAATATTCTGTAATTTAAAAATTATTTCTAGACTAAACAACACAATGACTTATATGTTTTATGCTGCATATCAAATATGACAAGTTTAAATATTTAAAAGCTAATACCTGTAGAATCTTCTGAACATGATAATAAAAGATTCCTATCGGGACTAATACTAGTTGAATAAACAGGTCCACTATGTCCCATCAGCACTTTTAAATCTGTAGCATTTTTATCATCCATCATGCGATATAAAACATCATCTGTAAGAAATATAAAAATTTTATCAGAAAATTTAAAAAACTGAAATTTTATATGAAAATTATAATGTATAAAAAGTATAAAAGTTCAATAATATAAATGCCAAAATTATTGAAATTCACCACATTGTAATTGAATAATAGTTAAATATTTTACAGTTATTAAAAAAAATCAACATAATCAAATGGGATATGAATGTAACTTGACAGAATTTTAGATTAGGATAGCCATATCTAAGATCCTTTTATTCAGTTCTTGTTTTCTTTTCTGAAAAATTTGATTGCCTTCATTCTTACAGATGACAATAATTCAAATAGCATGGAAGGCCTTTTATACAATAAATTAAAAAAAGTTCATATAAAATACTATATGCACTTAATGAAACAAATGTTATTTTGCTAATACTTCTTCTCAATGATTACAATTTTAAAATTCAGTTCATCAAATAAAGATTACTATAATGTAATTAATACATTCTTATAATAATGTAGTAATGTAACTAGAGATTCATTTTAAGAATCATTCATTTATTCCCACCAAAAGCATTCAGACTTTAAAAATGCAATTAAATAACTGTTTGATTATTACTATTATTGCTTGTTTAATAAATGGAACAAATATTTTGCAATGTAAAATCTAATCATAAAATGAAGAACTTTTTTTTTATGCTGAAATGTTCATAAGATAAATTAGCACTGAGAACACTGTCTTTTCAATGTTATCCATGTTTAATGACAAAAAGAAATGTTTTCACAAGTCCTTTGACCTTTTCAAAAACATCTTCATCAGATGAATGGCAAAAGAACATTTGTCCAAATGTTGTTATAAAATTTTAATATAATGATGAATTGAATGCTGCATAGATAACCAATTATGTAGAATCTAGATTAGCACTACTTTACTGTACAAAAGAGATTAAATTATAAAAGTAGCAGTCTATATACTATGCAAATCATACCTAAATTCAAACTTTCCAGCAAATAAAAGTAAAAAAATATAAAGATCAAACATTTTCGGCCACTAAATTTATCGGCCTTCCTCAGGAAATACAAACTGAAAAAATCGTTCTATAAATAGAACGTAGAAGCCTTGTAAATTTTAAAAGAATGAAAACAGCTGTGACGTATAGTGTATGATGTATATTACGAGTCTAGATAGTGTTTCCATGCTGATGATACATGAATGACATCCATGTTGATGCAGTTTCCCCTCTTGCTCACTTTGTAGATTTCCACTACTTCTAAAATTTTAATACTTTGCCTGTCGAAGACAGGCAAAAGTATTAAAATTTATTATTAATCTTATTAAGGATTTATACAGCATGACCCATAGCCTTGGGAGCTCCAATGTGGGCTGATTGTAGGGCTCTTGTTTCTTGACGATCAAAGCCTCTCAGATAAAATTAATTTTGCAGTCCATATATTGTGCCAATAGGGTGGAATGAGACCACCCTATTGGAAATTATGCTCTATTACTTTTTTTTGCTAGCTCCATGGTATGCCTGTTGTTATGCTAATTTATCTCAAAATCTAATCTTTTAAATGTCTTAAATTTTTCTCTTGTTAAATCAATATAAGATTAAGATTACATACTATATACAAACAAACATTTAATTACCTGATAACATTTATTTATATCACTAAGTTAATAAGTAATTTCATCATAATTAAGTTTCCTATTGTAATATTTATGATATTCAGTAAAAAGTTTTTATAGTTATGTCCTAAATAACATAACAAAATTAAATGTACTGTAATATTAACAAAATAGTTGTTTATAGGATCATACTCCTTAGGTTATAATATATAAATTAAAAATTAACTGTTTATTAAAAGAACTTCAAAGTTATAAAATATTAGAAATGAATAAAATACTGTGAAAGATTAAATCAAAGAATTAAGCTAGAGTACTTTAATTCAAAACCTCAACCTAAAATAAATTTATCAGATAAATTTTTATATACAGTAGACCCCCTATAACATGGGTTCCTATAATTACGATTCCTATAAGACGGCGAAAAAATTGTGACGGTATCCGTACAAACCTGGCAAAAAACTCCTATAATTCGGTAAAACGTCATCGGGCAGCCGAACTATTTTCTGCCATCCAGCGCCATGCTACGGAGAATTTAGGCGGGTAAATTGAGTTTACTATCGTCTGTACAGTATTATATATAAATTAGGTACTGTACATATAATTATATATTAATTATACAGGTAGGCCTCCT